TAGCAGTCATCCTGTTTGTTAGAAGTAAGAAGAGTAGTGAAATGTGGACAACTGGACTTGACAGAGCGTGTCAGCCTCCGTAGCTTCTCCTGGTCGCTTGCAAAGGGAGGGGTGTGCGGTGACTGATGGTGCATTCAATATGGTAATAGCTAGGGATGGGGATCGAGACCCGGATCCAGCGACCAGCAGAGAGAGACGCCGCTCTGTCGCGGTAGAGACGGTGAAGTTATGTTAGCTCCAAGCTACTTGAGTTGCCGAGAGCTACGCTCCTTACTGTAAATACGTGCAATAAAACCTTAGCAAGTAAAAAGACAATAATCAGTAAGGTAAAAATGTTGAAAGTGTTCATTTAAACTGCTCTGTCCTCAGTCTGTTATGATGTATGTTTTATACAAGCACAGCTAACGTTAGCTTGGCATTAGCCAAATGTTAAAAACAAGCTAAGTAGAAAGCTGTCCATCTGTAGCACAGCCTGGTCTGTATTTTTAAAATGTGGCGCATTGTTAAAAAATCAGCTGCGACGTTACCTGCAGGCAGTGAATAACAGCAGAGAGGAGGAGGAGGAGGGAATGATTCAGAGTTTTTATTCTTTCTAAGCAACACTCACTACTGTGATGTCACATATTGACTTTATATAGTGACATTGCTGTTGTAAACATTAAATTCTATTTAAATTCTAACCTATAATTAATTTAAAAACAACCAGGCAGCTAATATGCACACATTAATATTTGTTTATGCATCGGACGTCATAAGTCATCTCAGTTATTGCACATTGAATATTTCCCTCACACCGTGCAGGCCTACCACATCCCTGTTGGGTCTGGTCTTACCAAATAACCATCACCAAATAATAGTAAAGTATCGACAGTGGTATCGATAAAGACTCGGATTGTTAAGCAGTCTCAATAATGGCATCAATATCAATAAAATTAATGATCCCCATCCCTATTAATAACAGGGATTAGTTTACCGTCCATGTAGAGTGAACTACATCTCTGCGTATTGTTTATGTGCTTTAATAATGTTAATCCAACACATCTTTGTAGTAGGGTCCCTGTTGATTCCAAATTCAGACTTAAGAGCACATGAAGACACACTGAAGTCGGAAGAACGACTTCACAACTCTAAAAATGGGACCATCCATGGAGCATTGAATGCACCGTGAACCGCTGGTTGCAATTCTCAACCCTCACTACTAGATGGCGCTAAAACGTACACACTGAACCTTTAAGCCCCGTTAAGCCTTACGTTGTTATTACATGCATGCCTGCTTTTACCAGTTACCAGCAGAGACAGGCAGGATGCAGTCTCCTCTGAATGTCAGTTCAGCTCTACATTACAGCATATGTTCTCCCCCTCTTATTAATATGTAGTTGGCAGACACTTACCTGCCCCATATTGCTGCTATAAAGTAGTTGCTACACTTTGGGGCAAAGAAATGTGCAAACAACAAGAATATGTTCATGAAATGTAAACCTCTTTGTCTACCATTTGGCAAACTTTTATTAGGAGGGGAAGGAGGGCCATATTGTTTTTTTTCATATGTACTGAATTAAATGTAGTTTATTAAACATTCATTTGTAAAGTGTTGATAAAATATGGTGTTGCAGTTATGAGCAGATTATTACACTTCTGTTCAGATGTTGCTCATATGTAACTGGTTTTCACAGCTACAGAATTTTACGAGACATAATAAGACATAATAATCTTCACAATCACTGATGGCTTTTGACACCTGCTGGTGAAACATGCAAATGCAAAGAAGACGCAATGATCCAAAGGAAGAAGCAACATGTTATGTTACTACATGAAGGGACAAAGTGAGACATCAAATACATCAATGCCTTCAAAGTTGAATCTTCTTTTTGTATATGATTCAACTAAAAAAATGTCTTTTTGTGACTTATTATTTGTGTATGAACTAGGTCGTGGCATCTTCACCTCTGCTCAGTTTGGAAAGAGACTTTCTGCGAACTACTAGCAAACAGGAATGTGAGAAAAGACAGAGACTTCATCATGACCGCCTGAAGGTGTTTATGTAAGTTCCATTTTAATGGAAAACTGTGGTGGTGCGTATTATATGTCTAATCACAATTAGATTACATGTTGCTTTTGGTTTGCTGAACATACAGACATTGCTGATCTGGGGCTCGTTTTTAAAGTTTCAATGATAAATTGACAGGTTTAAATTACACTGAACAAAATTATAAAGGCAACCCTTTTGTTTTTGCCCCCATTCATCATGAGCTGAACGCCAAGATCTAAGAGTTTCACTATGTGCACAAAAGGCCTATTTCTCTCAAATGTTGTTCACAAATCTGTCAAAATCTGTGTTAGTGAGCACTTCTCCTTTGCCGAGATAATTCATCCACCTCACAGGTGTGGCATATGAAGATGCTGATCAGACAGCATGGTGTGCCTTAGGCTGGCCACAATAAAAGGCCACTCCAAAATGTGCAGTTCCATCACACAGCACAATGCCACAGATTTCGCAGGTTTTGAGGGAGCGTGCAATTGGCATGCTGACTGCAGGAATGTCCACCAGAGCTGCTGCCCGTGAACTGAATGTTCATTTCTCTACCATAAGCCGTCTCCAAAGGTTGTTTCAGAGAATTTGGCTGTACATCCAACCGGCCTCACAACTGCAGACCACATGTAACCACACCAGCCCAGGACCTCCACATCCAGCATTTTCCCCTCCAAGATCGTCTGAGAACAGCCACCGGACAGTTGCTGCAACAATTGGTTTGCATAACCAAAGAATTTCTGCACAAACTGTGAGGAACTGTCTCAGGGAAGCTCATCTGGATGCTCATCGTCCCCATCGGGGTCTCAACCTTACTGCAGTTTGTCGTCGTAACCGACTCGAGTGGGCAAATGCTCACAGTCTAACACAATCTGTATCAGGTCCAACTCATCAGAAGGGTCATACACTTGATCTTATCATGCGGTTTTTCTGTCTCCAACCTTGAAATTACTGCTACTGGTGTCTCTGACCATCTCATGGTTATGTTCAATTCCACTTTACCATGTCCCCTTTCCAGCCTCATTACCTTGGCCAATCCCATTAACTCCACAGCCGCACACTTCTCCAACATCTTCATGCACACTTCACACCTCAGATCTTCGAACGCTGACAATGTGTAGCTCCTTTAAAACCAAAAAAAACAAGGCGAACATTGTTGGTACCCCATGGCTAAATCCTAAGAGACTGCTCAAACCATTACCAAAGTGCTGTTAAGTCAGCAATAATGCCCATAGACCTAATGTACTGTTCAAAACTCCTCAAGCAACTCCTTCCTAACTCCGGCTGTTGCTGCTACCTCTGCTGCATTAGATTTCACATCATACCCTCAGACTCAGACCCCCTAGAAACCAATCATCCAGCTAGACTATGCCATCTTCCCAGCTGCTAGAAGTGGTCATGCATATGAATTCAATCTACTGTCCCGTAGACATTATTCCATCCCGCCTATTTAAGGAAGTCTTCAAAACTATTTGCCCTCTTATTCTGGCGATAATTAACAGTTCCTTAACCAATGGCATTGTCCCCTTAGTTTTAAACATGCAATTGTGCAACCCCTTTTAAAGAAACCCAGCCTTGACTCCAGTGATCACAACAACTATAGGCCCATCTCCAAGCTACCATTTATTTACAAGATTTTAGAAAAAGTTGTCTTTCTCCAGGTCTCCTCCTACCTGAACACATTTAACATCTGTGACAAATTCCAATCTGGTTTTAGAGCACTTCATAGTTCTGAATCTGCCCTGCCAAAGGTGCAAAATGACATCCTTCCCTCTGTCGACTCTGGCTCTAGTGCTATTTTAGTCCTGCTTGATCTTAGTGCAGCCTTCGACACAACTGACCATGAGACTCTATTAAAATGCCTGGAGGAAAAAGTCGGTCTACAGGGCACGATGTTACAATGGTTTACATCCTACCTGACAGGACAGAAAGAATGTTTACTGTTAGAATAGGAAATTGTTGTCATCATCTCCTGCTGCCATTAAATGCGGCATCCCTCAAGGCTCGATTTTAGGCCCTCTCTTATTTTCACTATACATGCTTCCTCTTGGTATTATTTTTGAGAAGTACAATATTTTGTATCATTGTTACACGGATGATACACAGTTCTATATACCAGTTACACCTGACAGCATTCACTCTGAAAAACCTCTTAAACTTTCTGACTGATATCAAAGATTGGATGGCGAGGAACTTCCTTCAATTAAATGAAAATAAAACTGAGGTAATTCTATTTGGCCCTGAAAGCTCTGTCATTAGCTTAAGTAATTCACTTGGTCCCCTTGAATACAAACTCGCACAATGTAGTGAAGAATTTAGGTGTTTTTATGGATACTTCTTTGAATTTTAACAAGCAAATCAGTTGAGTCGTGAAGGGCAGTTTTTATCAACTTACCCAAATTGAAGTCATTTTTATCCCATAGAGACCTGGAAACAGTTATACATGCGCTTATCACCTCGCGTCTGACCCATTCAACACTTTCCCGACTACAAATGATTCAAAATGCAGCTGCTAGATTTTTAACTGGAACAAAGTAAAGGCAACACATAACTAACGTCTTGTCTCACTTGCACTGGTTACCGGTAAAATACAGAATTGATTTTAAAATTTTATTATTTCTTTTTAAAGCCCTTAATGGCTTAGCCCCACAATACATTACTGATATGCTAACTCAATATTCTGCACCTAGATCACTCAAGTTATCTTCACAACAACTCCTCTTAGTCCCCTTCTCATGCCTTACAACCAAAGGTGACCGAGCCTTTTCTGTTGCTGCCCCCAGGCTTTGGAATAGTCTTCCATCTAACATCAAGTCCTGCCCCACCTTTGAGAACTTCAAATCTAATTTAAAGACCTTTATTTTTTCTCTGGCTTTTACCTGATTCTGTCCCTTATTTTATTTATTTATTTAGCTTTACATTTTGGATTTTACATTTGTAAGTGTGAGAGAAACAAGAAAAACACCCAACATTGATGTTAAGAATTAGTTCTTTATTACATGCAGCATGAGAGGAAAACAAGTCTAACGACAGGCAGGTGATTGACAGAAAAAAATCCCTCACAGGAACAGGAAACAACATCTCTTTCACTGGTGACAGAACCGCCCTTCTTCTACTGAATGAATCATCCTATGTTCTGTCACGAGATGAAACAGACGCACAGTTTACTCAGAGATTACACATTACACAGCCTACAGTAAATTTAAACATAGGTCTCTACACTCATTTATACTTCATTATGACAGTAAGTTTACTTCTAAAGTGTTACAATCACAATGCAAAATAATATTTTTCCCACAGTAATTTGATTTGATTAAATGCCCTGTGTATTCATTGACAAGAATAAGATTAAAATGTGGTTTGTGATTTAGAGCAGTATATTTTCACCAAGTAGGCTGTTTAAAAATCAGATCAGTGTACAATGATCACATGCAGTAGTTTAATAGTACTGTATTATCAGTTAGTATCAGAGCATGCAGTTCCTCCCAGCTGAGAAGGTCCCTCCTTCTGATACTCAAAGGGCCACACTATTTTCTACGCTTGATGGATCCAGGTATGTGTATGGCACTTTCAGACTGTTGTTCCTATTTTGGATGTTTACACTTAACTTGCCAAGCTCTCCTTGGAATTTCTTTATCTGCAGGCAGGGAGTCTCCTCAATGAACCGGTTCTCCGGGTAGTGGCCAAGAGGAACCTGATGAGATCAATGATACATTTAATTTTTTTATTAAACGTAGACTATTGGCAATAAAGTGTACAGTTGCAGGAAGTGAGCAGGATCAAAGGGTGTTTTGGCTCTAATAACATATTCCCCTACTTTACACAACTTGAACAAGAAACAAAAACTGTTTATGAAATTTCATTTTTCATGATGTCTTGGGCACTTACAAAGTCAGTAGACTGCTTGCTGAGGAGCCACACGGTGGCTATTCCCTTAATAGTTGCGTTGACATCAGGGAATGTCTGCAGCATTGTGTCCTCGCTTGTTGTCCCCTTTTTGGTTGGTGGAGGACATTGCAGAGAGGTGGGAGTGTTGGGCATCCAGCTATCATAGTCATACTGCAGTGAATGAATGACAGATTAATACTTTTTGAAATCACGCCATGTCCATCTGTTGTTCAGTCGGTCCACACTGAAATAGTTCAACAACCACTAGATGTATTGCCAAGATTGGAACAAAAGACAGTCATGGTCCCTAGACCAGGGGTATTCAATTAGAATTCAAAGAGGTCCAGTTAGAGAACATTTCCCCATGCAAAGGTCCTGAACATCAAAACGACTAACTTGCGGTATTATTCAGTGCCATAACGTATAGCTGTATCAACATGTTTTTAGTCAACAACGGACTGTCAAATTAAATAATATTTCAAGAATATTTACTGTCAGTTTTCACATCAAACTGGAGGGACAATAAATAACTACCATAATAATAAATTCTAAATTTAAGTAAACTAAAATAAAGTGCCTAATTATTAGAAAAAATTAACTAAAAAGTGTAGCTTGAAGTGATGAAGTGCAGTCTTAACCAATTTTATAATAAACACTCAACATATCTTAACAAGTGATCTGCCTCCTCTTCTCATCTCTTCACTTTCCTACTTTCTCTTGTTCAGTGAGAAACGTGAGCTCTGGCTTATCCTGCCAGCTAGGATTAGATGTATGATATTTTGGGTTTTAAACTGCCCATGGGAAGAATATACATGTAATCATCTGTACATTCTTGATTAAAAGCCATGAGTCCGGATCCGGACCGCGGTCCGCCTATTAGTGACCTCTGCCCTAGACAATGAATCCTAATGACTTATCCCCCTGACCTTTAGTGTAGCGCCGCCATGTGGTTCACATTTGTGGATTTGTCTCGAAACTTGAATGTCTCAACCAAAAAGTGTTGAGACATTCATGTTCCCCTCAGGATGAACTGTAATAACTTTAGTGATCCCCTGACCTTTCATCTGCTGCCATCATCAAAAAGTTTATTTGTCCAATACTTTGGTTTAAAACTGGAGACATCAGTCTTAGCTGTGCTGTATTGTGCACATTCTTGCATGCTAACATGGTAAACGAACACTGTGATACCTGCTAAAAGTCAGCATGTTGGCATCATCATTATTACATTTGGCTCGCCTGTGCTAAAATACAGCCTCACAGACCTGCTGTCGATCCTTGTTTATATGAAAGGCTCACTTACACCATACACAGAGTCAGGTGTCATTCATGTCTCTCCAGTTCAGAGAAAACTGAAAATGTAATTTAAATAGCATTAGAAGGATTCACCTGTCCAGAATTCACGGCAGCGTGCTGTGCTGAGCCAGTGAAGATCACCATGGTGACAAACTTGACCAACTCAGCCACGGTGGTAAATCTCTGTGGAATCCCTACAAATTTAAGAGAATGAACTGCATTACCTGAAGACATCTATGAGAAATAAACTTGATTATATGATAGAAAGGCTCAAATACAGCACTATTTATCCTCATTGACATTTTGCTTTTCTTTGAAGCCCACCTGTCTCTGCTTTTGAAAGGAATCCATGTTTAAAAATGTCCTGAATCCACTTCTGCAGCTCAGAGTCTTTCTCTACGTCGTCATTCTTGTAGTAGTAGCTGAGCACTCCATGCACAAACCTTTCAGAAATGTGGAACAATTAGATGAAATACAGTTGAATGAGACATTTTTATACACACTGCAGCAGCCTATTTTCAAAGACGATTTAATGGTAATCACTTAGAAAGATCACGTCTGTTCTTTTAAGACTTTGGGGCAATATTTGACACAGTAGATCATGCTGAACAACTTTAATATTTCTGCTCTCCTTGGATATGTCAGAAGCTATTTATGTTACCGCTCCAGATTAAATGGAGACGCAATAATGAAAAAGCTGAATTTTATCCTCTCCTAGTACAAAATCTAAATGTAGTACTCCTGGACCCTAACCCTACTTCTGTATTGATTTGATTAAAGGAAACTGAAAAAAACTAATTATGATACAGTTTATAAAGATACAAGGCGGTCTCCATGTTTTGGCCATAATTACTATTTTGTGGTTTGCTTTATTCATTATGGTCAGTGTCTACAATCCACCGCAGGTGAAGTAATGTGCAGGACACACAGCTCATGCTCGTCGATCAGATGATGTGTTTGGAGTAGGGGTTATCTTAAATAGTCAGAGATTCGTGGTAGAAGAGGAAGAGAGACAGAGCACCAGCTGATCCGGTGTTGTGCAGAGTTGTGCGTGCACCTCACAGAATGCTCAAATCATTCATTACCATTGATGAACCACACAAAGAATGATGTCGTTTTTAAGCAGTACTTGGAAGAGACCGGCGAGGATCGCAAGGCGCACGCATGCAAAGACCGGTGAATGGCAGCTTCTCACGATTAAAGTTGTGATACGGTGTGTAAACCCCTGGGATGTTTTTAGGACTTCTACCAACAGTCTGCGTGACTTTACAGTGGCAGTAACGTCTTACATGAGCTTCTGTGAGGACATCACGCACCTGGGTGAGTGATAACAATGACAAACCCTGGTTCACAGCTAAACCCACACAGCTATGGTGGGAAAAGGAGGCGGAGTATCAAACCTCTTAAAGCTCACAGGGCCGTCTGCTTGAGCAAGTTCTAAACTGCTTAGATCTCACGAATTCTTTTTGTTATAGTGTACCGAGCACCTGGCCCGTACTCTGAATTCTTATCTGAATTTGCAGAGTTTTTGTCAACTTTAGTCCTTAAAACGGACAAAGTTATTATTGTAGGGGATTTTAATATTCATGTGGACGTTGAGAATGACAGCTTTAGTACTGCGTTTATCTCTCTGTTAGATTCCATTGGCTTCTCTCAGAGTGTTCATTAACCGACTCACTGTTTTAACCACACCCTCGACCTTGTTTTTGGTATATGGTATTGAAATTGAACATTTGTGTGTTTGATAACTTTTGAGTTTGTATTGCTGAACTACTCGCCATTGGGCAAAAATTTCTATACAAGATGTCTGTCTGATAGTGCTGTAGCTAAATTTAAGGATGTGATTCCATCAGCTCTAAATTCATTATCTAGTCACAAAGTAACGGAGGACTCCTATGCTAATTTCAGTCCCTCCCAAATCGATCATCTTGTTGATAGTGCTGCAGGCTCGCTGCGAATGACACTTGACTCTGTAGCCCCTCTAAAAAAGAAAATACTAAAACAAAGACGGTTAGCTCCATGGTATAATACTGAAACTCGCACAACCCCAGGTTTCTTTTCAGCACAGTAGCCAGGCTGACAGAGAGTCACAGCTCTATTGAGCCAAGTATTCCCATAGCTCTCAGTAGTTACGACTTCATGAGCTTCTTTAATGATAAAATTCTAACTATTAGAGACAAAATTCACCAAGACCTGCCCTCAACTGGCACCAACTTATCTCTAAACTCAGGAACCTTAGAAACAGCTGTAGAACCAGATATATGTTTAGACTGTTTTGCTTCGCTCAATCTTTACCAACTAACTTCAATAATTTCTTCATCTAAACCATCAACCTGCCTCTTAGACCCCATCCCGACTAGGCTGCTTAAAGATGTTTTACCCTTAGTCAGCACCTCTATACTAGATATGATCAATCTATCTTTATCAACAGGCTATGTACCACAGTACTTTAAAGTAGCTGTAATTAAACCTCTTCTGAAAAAGCCCAAACTTGATCCGGATGTTTTAGCCAACTATAGACCTATATCTAACCTTCCATTTCTCTCTAGCATTTCTCAGGAGCATGACGAGGCGCTGAGCGTTTTTCCCGCGCTGAGTGTTTTTTCCAGTCCCCGAGAGTTGAAAAATGTTCAACTTTGGGAAAAACGCTGCGCTCATCACTGTCACTTTTTACCCAGCTGTCCAATCATAGTAGAGGAGGGGCGGGACAAATACCACACTGTAGCAACAGTTACTATCCTGGAACCGGGCTTCGTCCTCTTGGACCAAACGGTGGTAACCTACTCCAACATATTACCGAGATGTTTCCTCGCCCACAAAATCTCATGAACCCACATACAGCCAGTCCATCCTCTCTCTACCTGCATCAGCCTGCTCTTCATACAGAGCAAGTAGGCTACCCAGTGTTGACATTTTTACATCCAGTAAAGTTAGGTAGAACTACTTGCAACCACGGACTTTAGTTTTCATAGCAACCAAAGCAGTCAGAAAAAACGCCCGTTAGCGCTCCCTGCTGGGCGTTTTCAGAAGAGCAGTTGGCGTTTTCAGCTGCTGAGAAACACTTTGGTGGACACGGGACCTAAGGCAATATTATCAGGAAATATTCCATAAGCTTTCATTGTTATGCAGATGATACTCAGTTATATCTATCGATCAAACCAGATGAAACTCATCTGTTAGCTAAACTTCAAATGTGCCTTCAGGATGTTAAAACCTGGATGACCTGAAGTTATTGTTCTGGGGCCTAAGCAACTCCGTGACGCATTATCTAAAGATATAGTTTCCCTTGATGGCATCGCCCTGGCCTCCAGCACCACTGTGAGGAATCTTGGAGTTATCTTTGATCAGGACATGTCGTTTAAGTCTCACATTAAGCAAATTTCAAGGACCGCCTTTTTTCACCTACGTAATATTGCAAAAATCAGGATAATCCTGTCTAAAAAAGATCAGTGTCTCCCCTCTATTCATTCAGGTGTGCTGCTGCGAGGTTGCCGCTTGGTAGAAATAAACTATTTGATATTGACTATTGATAGCAGCCTATTTCATCTTTGCTGAGCAAAAGTTTTGTAGGAAAGGAATTGAAGGCCTGTCCCAAATGTTGGCAGGGCGAGTTCAGTGATTTGAAGAAAATAAAATCATGGGCTATTCATTTAAGTTTTACTTCATGGCCTCCAAATGTATTCTAACTAACTCTAACAAGTGTTTATATTGTATAGCATTGCAACTTCATGTCAATAAAACATCCATGATTTTGCACCAACATAAATATTTACATTTACTAATTTAGCAGACACTTTTATAGTATAGATATAAATATAAATTATGAACATAATGTGGAAAATGGATACTGCCTATAATACCTGTGGATGATTTCCCAAAGCTGGAGTCCATCCTCCCTGTAGTAGAAGTTGGGCACAGTCTCCAGCCCACGCTCCTTGATGTCGTCTGGTATACAGAGTGAGCTGTAGGTCACCGAGGACATCGCTCTCTTCAGGATTGTGGTCAAATCCTCTGCAGTTAAAGCTCCAATCTAGGGAACATTCTCATGTGTGAGGAATAGCATAAAAATACTGTACATGATATTGAAAAAAATAAACACGGTTTAGTTAATGGTCTACTGAGACTGTTGGTCTATTCGTACCTCGTTGAAAATTCCATGCTCAGATATTAGATGACCACGAGCCAAGATGTTTATCTGCAGAGTGTAGCGAATGTGAGGAATGAGTAGCTGAAGGAAAGAGAAAACTCTGTTAGTCACACTATTACTTGTTAAAGTCAAATATCTAGATTCTTATATTAGCAGTGTGAAATACTTTCAAATGTATACAAACTTAAACATTATAGTTCATCGACTTTGGAAGATAAAAAGTCAGCAAGTTGAATAAACTTTATTAGTAAATTCAGTATTCTCCCTCATGGTTACCTTGTACAGTGGATGCACCGAGGGCACGTTGCGCAGCAGTGACACGGCAAAAACCTCGGCCAGCAGATGAGTGCGCAGCAGGTGAGAGCTGAGCTCATGCTCGTTGAAATCTGCACTTCTCACAAAAATCTTGGCCGTCAACCAGTCGTACTCAGAATCAGCAGGAGTAAAGATGGGATTGTCCTCTCCTGCAGTCTGCTTCAGCTGCAGGAGATTGGAGGGGAAGTGGTTCATACAATCCATTACTTGTCCTGGTTAATAATGTTTAAGAATGTTTGCCTGGTTCCTACAGTGTCTGTCAGGATTTGTTGTGGGCTCAGGGAAAAAACAGGCTTTTGGGCCCAGAAGCAGAGAAATGACTCGGTAGAACTGGTTTTTCTTGATTTATTTAAGAAAAACTCCAAGCGCACAACTCCAGAATCCAAAAGTAAAATATAACTTTAAACCAGGTCATCAAAACAGAAAACAGAAAATGTAAAGTCCAAAACCATGAAGCAAACAACATCCAGAAGGTGATATAGATATGGAATAAACGTCCCAGAAGACACAGGCAGATGAGCGGGACATGGAATATACACATTAACAAGACAATGATTCAGCAGAGGCTGAACAGAACTGAGAACTTTTTAAGCTGACACAAACGAGCAGGGAGGGAGGAACACCAGGTGCAACACATTAGGGACAACTAGAATGGGCATTTCCTAAAAAAAATGCTTGTGAGAGCTGTTAGCTGTGGCTGCTACCGCTGCGCACAGCTGCTCCATCAGCAATTTTTCAAGTCGTGTAGCGTCACCTACAGGTAAAAAAAACAACTATCATATACCAAAGACTTTCACTCCATTTGGTTAATACGCTCATAATGGGATTTGATCCCTCAACCTTCGAATCTGAAGGCCAGCCTTAACCACCTGACTTTTAACTTGTTTATCAGATGTGTTCAATTGACATGAAATGACCACTTCGCACCAACAGACGGCACTCGATGACCACAAATGCCATGCACACCACTATTTTGGTAGTTAGGTCTAGTGCTCTGTCACATATACATATACAAATTGAAAAGCAAGTCAGCGAGAAATGAACATTTTGTTGCCAGCATTAAGTTCAAACACCGAACAGCTGTGTGCAATTAACACCGGCAGCCGAGGTGGGAATTGAACCCATGTCTGGCAACATAAGACTGTATTAAAGCCTGACACTCCACCAACTGAGCTACTGAACCAGACTTCTTACATGCTCACAAACAGATGTTTTGTTGCTAGAAAAGTGTGGTGGTCTACCAAATCCTTTTTTCCACACTCTAGCTGGTCATGTGACGTACTGATAAAGTCTCCTAAAAGCTGTAAAACCCTTCACTTTGGAAGAACACAGCTCCTAAACTAAACATTTTAGCAAACACCTTCTAACAACATCTTTTCTACAGTTTAAAGCTCAAATGGAGTCGCCAACCCTAACCCGTAGCTGCACATATGCCAGAGCAGTAAGCTTTTGAAGTTGAGAAGGTTTGAAGAGAGTTGAGTTTCTGCTTCCAAGAACCCATTCATTTTAAAATGCATAAAAATATTAATATTATATCAGCCATTATAGATATCAGTAATAAAAGTAATAGCACCCATCTCCTGAACAGAATGCACAATTTGAAGTTGAAACAAAGTTTCTAGGACAAACGCTGCAGGAGCAGATAGAGAAGATAGTTCCAGCTCTCACACTAATAAATCATAAAGAGCAAAGACAACAAAAGTGTGAGAGCTAACTAAAACAGAAAACAGGCAGATATGAAAGAAACACCAGACACAATCAGTTGTATTTCCTATGGTGCTTCCTTAGGGGGAAATTCATATTTTCATCAGTGCATTTGTGTCATCTAATGAAATTGACCTGACTTTGACTCTCAGTCAAACTGGTATATGGCTCAGGATCAGGCAAGAGGAAATAAGCTGTTATCCTAGCAGAGAGAATTCTGGGAAATATATATCTAATGGTTTAAACGATAATCATCTTAATATTCTAATTTACAGGTTTACTATCGGCTAGATTTGAGTGCTAATCTCACCTGAATAGCAATTGGCATCAGCTCATTATCAGGTCTCTTGTGCAAAAGGACCAGCGGAGCCTCCACGTACTGCTGCTTCCCATGGATGATGTTTCCTTTCAATCCATCCAAACACTTGTAGTCACACAGGAAGATGTTGCCTCTCTGTTTGAAATTTTAGTGAGGGTGAGTAATTGTTGCATGGTGCAATTGTTGCACATGCATACTGTACGGTGGCCCTGAGGCTCAAAAAACATCAACATTTCACAAAACACAACACCTTTCACAGGGCACGGCTGCCGGAGATAATCAAGGCCATTCTAGTCAATGTCCGCAGCAACATAACTATGTGAAGGTTCTTGACATAATTGAAACAAACGAACAGACAGAGATTTCTGCCTTCAGTAGAGAGATGAATGTGTTAAGGTGGGATGGTGCTAATCAGCCTAAGAGACCCTCTAAATTGCTGTAAATTGGTTGTTTCGCTGTCAGGCAGCCCTGGGCATCTGCTAAACTTTTGACTTTATTGAAAAATCTACTCCTTGACAAGTCCTGCTTCTCCTCTGCAGTGTGTTGCTTGGTGCTGTAGGCTATATATGAAGTGCCGAGGCCGCACTGCAGAAGCCACAACTCAGATGACGCAGCTCTCAACTGTCACACGTTAAACGTCACTTCCTGTTAAGCGTTACTTCCTTTTCTGAAACAGTTTGAAAGTGGATATGGCCAACCTGCTAGCAGAAGTACATCAGAGTGTAACAACAGTCACTTCCTGTGGCCTGTAGGTGGCGCTATGAATATGAGTGAACATGGACTTGTAGATGTGTTTAGGGCATGACTCTTATCAATCATGTAAAGTTTGGTTCCAGATTACACCATGTACACTGAAGTTATAACAACTTCCTGTTTCATGGTGAATCATCAATTTTGTACCCCACTCCACAGACACGAGCAGTGCTGGAAATTAACACCCGCCAAGCGCCAAATGTGGGTACATCTATTCACCATGATAGCACCATATAATATCTGTTTGATACACGCAGCATGTTAAAGCTGTATCGCCCAGTTTATTTAAGTCTACAGCTTTAATCTGGATCAAACGGACATAATGTGCAAATGCATTTAGCTGACGCTTTTATCCAAAGCGTCTTATAATTGCTATACATGTCAGAGGTTGCACGCTTGCTCAGGGACACAATGGTGGATGGGTCACAGTGGGGGACTGAACCCAGGTCTCTCACAGCAAAGACATAGTTTTATCCATTGCGCCATCACCCCCCCAGCTCCAAATAAACATCCCTTTATGTCCGTGGTAATAGCAAAGGTAGCCTATGTCATTGCGAAACTGAAGAAACAAAAATTAAGACTTAATTGTGTAATAAATCAGTTTCAAATATAATTATGTACAAACAAGACAAAAGTTAATGACTAAGTTGGTGTTCAACATATTTTGCAAATTAGTGGCGCAGAGGCAGTGATGCAACCGTTGTAGGAGCGACTCACTAAACTGAAGATGCTTTTAGGGTACCAGGTAGAGAGCATTGGACTGAAACGATTGAAGTGGGTGATTAACAACTCAAGTTGGCAAAATGTACTAAAGTTGCACATTAAAATGGCCGACTTCCTGTTGGGTTTAGAGTATGGGTCCGTGAGGGTTTTTTGTGTGTCATGGGATGATTGATGTGCCACAAAAATGTTGTACATGTACTGTAGGTAAAATCAGAGACGTTTTATAGAGGAGACACGCCACTCAATGTAACTCTTTGGGGAAAGCCCATAACGGCAAAGATGGCGGTAGTCCCGCCCCTACCGCTAGAAAGCCAATCGTCTGCTTTTAACAGCGAGAAACATATTTCAGTCAATCGTGTCGTTCCACTGACATAAGGGTCTGTTACACTACTGCACGTGTGGTAGTAGTGATGCAAGTACAACCGATCGGGAAAAACGCTTTTTAAACCTTAGTTTGGGGCAAAGTCGTCAAACTTTTTCAGTGATTTTTATCACATTTTCCTGCTGATTCTATTCATGTAGTGTTTATGTCCCAGTAACCAGTGAAAGTGCAGTTCTACTCTCTCCTCATTCATTCAGAGAGGAGCCTGGTCTTGTTAGTCTGAAATAGCTGCCCGGAGGGGTGGCGGCCGAGTGGAATGTAGCGTCGGGGCTGCTCATTATAGGATCACTTCCTTTTCCAGTAGGTTGCGCTATAACACTGAGTTAATATTTGCATCTAGATGTGTTCAGGATGCGACTGTTACTATAATTTAAATGATCCCTTATTATTTCAATTGCCTTTAAAATTTGTGCAAGGTCACTGCTGAGAATCATTCACAATAGAAACAGGAAATGACAATGAACTGGTGTTGGCCCACCTTTCCCATAATCTGAAATATCATTGTGTTTTGTGAAATATCCTTATTGGTTTTGATCCTCAGAGTCATCGTAATACAATATGGATATTTCATATACAATTTCACATTTAATTACCAGCAAGTACCTTCATTTCATCATCCAGTGTACCCTGACCACTGAGGAAGACCATGTCATCAGTGACAGGAAAGTTATCGGGCAGAGTTGTACAACGTTGGATCATCATGGGGTTGATGCCATTCAGAAACTGGTAGCCAAAAAAAGCATCATCCCTCCAGTATTCTTGGACATATTCTGGAAAAATAAGAACGAGAATAACTTCACTGAGTTCCAAACACTGGACAAGAAAACAATGCTCTCCTACTGTCAGCTGACCTGTTTGCTGCATGTGGACAACAGAAAAATGGGAAACTATGTGTTTCACAGAATTCAGAGTCACGGACATAACTGGACTCTAGTTCTTTCAAAGTCAGTTGTTTGTCAGAGTCTTGATTATATGCAATTATATTTTAGCTTTCTCAAAAGGAAAATCAGGAAACTTGTTTAGATAGAGTCGCTGGAAAAAGTTTCGTCGTTTCGCCCCCAAATCGTTTTTTTGGGGGCTAAAGCTGAAGCTGATATTGAAGTGAAACAGAGACGATTTATAATCCAATATTTTGATGATGAAAATGATTTGGATGGTAGACCCCTTTTCCTGTATAAAATACACTTAGAACAGCCGATATGTTGCTGCTATGTGCCTTAATATTTGCTGCTAGAAGGAGCAACTTTTTCAGTCATCTGTAAACGTGTATATTTTACCTTACACTTAACCTGCCAGAATAACTACATTAAATGCAGCATATTCACATTTAGTTTATCCCTGTACCAGCCCTCTTTAATAATATCCAAAGCTACGAGAAACCATTTCTCAACCACCATCTGGCTCTAAATCATGCCGTCTACGATACAGTGACCTGCTGTTGAATACTACAAGACTGTCTACAACTTCAGATTTCACACTGACGTCTCGCATTTGAAAGAGGAGCTAGATAACTTTGTCTGGTAGGAAGCCGTGTACCAGCCGACTGGTAGGGGGTCCCCTACGTGGGCCGTCCAGTTTAGACAAGTTGATGTGGACTTGGACAAACAACAACGCTGCATGCAGCTCTGCTGTGCCAGTAAAATTCAGTAGCTCTTATCGAATGAAACAGTCTCTTCACTCATGGTTTCAACGGTAAACCACCACAAGAATGACAATTAATTTAGGTAATGAAATGCAGTTGAATATCTGAATGTCCGCAGTTGAATGTATACTATTAAACTGCCATGATAGTACAGTACTTGATATGTTGGTCTGTTTAAAGTCGATGTGACGGATGTCGTCAAAACTAGTCCAGTTCCGAATCCAATGAACCCATTTCTCCAGTTTCAGCCCAAACAGCCTAGAAAATAAAGCAAGTACAAACTTTATCGTTATCTCTTTAATAGTTTTGATAGGCAGGTAGGTAAGCAGGTACACAGTTATAAAGATAAATGACTTCACCCTGTGATTGCATTGTAGATGAAATCTTTATCCTTGGTGAAGGAGAACTGGACCTCCCAGGGCAGAAGAAAAGGTTTTTTTTCCTTTATGCAGTGAGGTAGTCCCTCTACATACACATACCAGCTAGCAAAAACAGGGAAGAGCAGAGTGTTGAAGGAACTTTGGTCAGTCTACATACCAGTATCTGCAGCTTTGATGAAGACTGTGCAAGCATAATACAGTTGACATGCACTCATTCCAACATATGTTATCGTAACAAATGTGGTTACATGTTGGTTTTGGGGTGCATTAAGCTAAAATGTGTGGTTCTCACCAATATTCTTGATCTCGCTGCTTCAGCTCCTGCTCCCGACTGGACCTGCCAGGAGAACTGGTGTCTTCCCTGTCTGTCAGAGCTAAAAGAAAGAACCACAGTAAGGTTTGAAATTGTTGATATCTGCTTGCATGAATTTACTCCAGGAGTAATTTTTCTTTTATGTCTTCTGTGGTCAGTGAACAGCACAAACCTGTTCCCTCTCTGAAGCGGTGCACCTCACTGTCAGTGATCCACTCGTAGATGGGAAAGATGTAGGTCTTTTCTTCAGGGGATTTCACTTCCACCTTGGCAGGGAACCAGGCTTTATTAAGGAAAAATGATTGACACTCTTTTTGGAGCTCTATCAGGACCAGCTTTCCAAGGGATGTTGGGCAGGACACGGTACAATGAGGCTTCTGGAGGAATAAGGGAAATGTTTTAAAAACATTTATACAATGAAGAGAACATGTATTTAATAACCAACATTTAAACATACAGAGGGATATTTCGGACTTACTATTCCGATGAAGGATGTAAATCCATTGAGCAAACTGCGTTTGGTCCTTCCATCTGTGCCCACCAGATTGATGTAGACATCGTTGAAAGTATGGGCACTGAGGAAATCCCCAGTGTATACAGTCACTTCATAGTCCATCATTTTCGCTCTGAAACGCAGACAAAACCAGACAGCTCTGAATTATGACTTTTCTGTGTCCCCTAGGTGGCGCTGGACACACCTGCTAATTATATGTTGTGTACCAGAACATGAAGTGCGGCCCACACTGTGAAAATACCATGTAAATCAAATGATTTGACTTTACGTCCTGTTGCTAGCAGGTGGCGCTATGACTATGAGTGGATCTCTCTAATAAAGAGGGAAATCTGTGTGTGTGTTTGTATTTGGATTATGTCAGGAACCGTTCATCCAATCGACTTCAAACGTAACGGGGTGTGTTGCTGCGGACCGAAAGGCGTGCCGTGTCATGTTTGGTGCAAACACGCAATTAATAAAAACAGTAGAGAGCAGCACTGAGCAGAGCTCTGCAGTAGCGACGGCGATTGATCAACAGGAACCCTTATCAAGAATGTGAAATTTGGTGCAGATCTGAGCATGCACACTGAAGTTATGACAACTTCTTGTTTCATGGCGAATCATCGATTTTCAATGCTATACCTCGGACAAACCCATCGCCGAAAACTCACAGATAGCACAACTTTTCATTGTCAATGCCTTTAGAAGGCACAGCAGAAATTTGAAGTTCGTTAAAATATGAAACCTGTGAATCGTCACAAGTGAATGTTAAATTCAAATTGGCCGACTTCCTGTTGGGTTTAGGGCATTGTTCCCACAGACTTTTTTGTAGGTCCCGACATGATATGTTTTTGTTATGACCGTAGAAGTGAGCACTACATTATAGCCACCTACTAAAAAAGAACTACTGGGTTCAAACTTTCTTGGAGCCAGTCACATGTTGTTGAAGTATGTCAGCATCCAGGTAGCATTTAGTTTGGGGCTGATGTAAAGCAGCTGGTTACCTGAGAGATCTAAGAAACATGGGTTGTTTCTCGAGGCAGTATTGATCACTACATTACAGCCCTGTACAACACTACACAAGTTTAAAGGATACTTTAAACAGTGATGATATAACTCACACAGTACTAGTCACCATACGTTCTATAACTGACAACACTGAGCCCCAGGAAGAGTAGAATACAAGATGTAGCCTAATATTAGGCTATAAAGCCTGCTGTGCCTCTGTATATTGTAGGCTGTAGTAAAATATGAGGCGCCCACTTACACCTCTTTTGAAAATGCTTGTTTTTGCCACTGACAGGCTCAGATGGTTCTTCTAAGGATCTCTTCAGGGATAGACCTTTTACAAAAAGATCCTTTTTAAACCAGAAACAGTGGCTCTGTTGAAAGACTCCCTTGACAAAAACAATGACTTAACGACCATATGTGTATTTTGATTTTGATTTTTACTCAACCAACATATACATATGTAGAACATCATAATGCTGTTGTTGAATTATATTGTTATTTTCATGTTTACATGATCATTTTAGTATAGTCCTCTACAGGCTTCCTTGGTTAAAAGTCAAATCCTAATTAAATAATTAGTCATTTAGCTGATGTTTTTTATCCAAAGCCAGCTACTTACTAGTGTCTTGCTCAGGGACACATTGGTCTCGCACACCAAAGGCCACTTCACCATCGCCACCCCATTATTTTTTCTATTTAAATCATTTGATTACGCATCTCTTACCTTTTGACGAAGCCAAGAAGTTCCAACGATGAATTGGTCTTTTGATGAAAGCAGTGACGAGTGAGTGGCTCCTCTCCTTTTATACATACAGGTTTGTGGGAGTATCCAGTCACCTGCAGCTCTGCTGATGAAACCAATTGTGCAATTTTACAGCAGTTACGGCACAACCAGAAGAAGATGATCTAGATAAGGATTTAAGGTCAACAGGAAGAACGCCTTTAAACGTGAGACCATCAAGTAAATTAAAAATGTTAATCCTGTATAAATGCTAAAATGTAACATTCACCTACACATCTCGTTGTTTTGTTTGTTTGTTTTTACTGTCCCCGTGGGGAAATGAGGTTGCAGCAGAAATCACATGGCCTTTGACAACAGACACCAGTGAACATGTTTTCAACATATGCGGATGGACATACATTTGTGACCGTACCTTATTAGCATTCATTATTAAATTTCATCTAGAAATTGAGTGGCCTGTGGAACAAAGGAAAACTTGGATCTGTTTTGGGGAACTGTCATATCTTGTTGATAGTGGCCGATTATCAGGAACATACATTTCTTCGCTACCCACACACTGTCACCCTGGAGCCACAGTCCCGACTCTGCTGAGCAAACTACCTGAACTGCTGCACTCACTCCCACCCTCCATAAACCGGGTGCTTGTCCATATTGGCTATAATGACACAGCTCGTCGGGAATCTGAGCAGACAAAAAAGGATTTTATTGAACTTTTTAGCCTTTTAAAAAGTTGTAAATCGTTTTTTATCAGTGGTCCCTTACCAACTCTGTCCCATGACTCAGAGCGCTTCAGCAGACTCCTCACCATCAACACCTGGCTCCAGTCCACCTGCCATGTTCACAACTTTGTTTTATTGAAAATTATAATTTGTTTTGGAACCGTTTTTCTTTTTATAGGACCGATGGAGTGCACCAAACACATTAGGTAGCTCGCATTTAGCAGCCAACCTACAACATGCTGTACAGTCTGCCTCACATGCGTGACTATTTACACGACGCAACTATTCCCTGAAGTCTTCTTCTCCGCCCACCGCGGCTGCCCCAGGTTAAATTACCCTCACCAGCTACCCCTTGTGGCCTCACGTGTCACTAACCCTTCCTTCACGCTCTGTTCGCCTATTTTCATACCACTTCTTAGCGCCAAACTGCATCGCCTCAATGTGGTCAAAACGCATTTCTCCACCATGTCACATCACAAAAACTCACAGGTAAATCTCTTCAACCTCCGTCTTCTGCAACATCCATCATATACCGCCCCCCCCAAGCCAAACCCCACCTTTCTCTCCGACTTCCCTCATTTCCTGACCCAGCTCTCTGCCACATCACCCACTGTCCACCCATTCCCATGGTCACATCCTCGACCTGGTCCGCTCCACTGGTCTCACATTAAATCATATTTCCAGCATTAACCTCCACATCTCAGAATGGACATCCCCATTCCCACCCCAAAAGTGCAACGCAAAATCTCATTCAGAAACCTCAAGCTCATCAATCCTCCCCACTGTCTGATGATCCCTCTAACCTTGTGGGCTTCTACAACCACACCCTCTCCTCCTGTCTCGACCTGCTGGCTCCCATTATAACCAAAACCTTCTCCTTCACACACTCAGCTCCCTGGTACACTCTTGAACTTCACAACATGAAATCCTGCAAGAGTAAACTGGAAAGACAACAAAACCAACAAAACAAAAACAGTTCACCTTCACGCATACGCAGACCACCTTCACCAATACAAAAACGCTCTCGACACTACCTGGTCCACCTTTCACTCACACCTTATACATTCCAGCTCCAGCAACCCCAAGTTTCTTTTCTCTACAATAAATAAACTCCTCAACCCCCCCGACAACCTTCACAGTGGACAGATGCAACCCTAACCCTCAATCTACCATCACTCACAAAAAACACCAACAACTTCAACCTTTCCATCAACAACTCCACCTCCAACCTCGTCTCCAACCCCACACATCTGCAACCTCAGAGTCGTCTTTGACCGCAACCTCACTGTTGAACACCACATCAACCGAGTCACCAGGACGGCCTTCTTTCACCTCAAAAACATTGCCCGCCTCCGCCCATCACCCTCCCTCCTCTGCTGCTGAAACCCTGATCGACGCCTTCATTACATCCAGAATTGATTACTGCAATAGCATCCTCTATGGTTCACCTGCCAAATCCCTAAATCATCATCCCTCCATAACAAGGCCCCTTCCTACCTCACAGACCTGCTCCACCACCACAATCCCTCCTGGGGCGACAGAGCTTTCACCGTCGCAGCCCCCTCCCTCCTGACCCAAACACATCCCAGACTGCAGCGACTCTTTCAAATCACTTATCAAAGCCCGGCTTTTAGACTAGCTTTTAACAACAATAATTTTATATTACACCTGCTGCTGTTTGTTGTTTTGTTATTTATATGGTCGCCACTTGCTTTTATGTGTTTCCACACCACGTTTTTATTTACTGTTTGTATATTTTATATTATGCTATTTAAGGTTTTAAATGTACATAACTTCTGCCTTTACCTGTAAAATGTCCTGAAAGGCGCAATAGAAATAAAATGTATTATTGTTATTATTATTACTTTCCAACAGAAAGAAGTAGAAAATGAGTCAGGAGTTAAACAAGCCACTAAACTCCACTAAAGACTCTAAAGAAGCAAACAGAGGAAAAGAGTCTTCCAGCCGATCAAACCAGCTTCACCTGAAGCAGCTGCAGTAAAATCAGCTGATCGCTGCTGCGCCACAAAAGCTTTAACTGATGTGATGTGACGCAGCGCTCGATCAGGGACGAGTGATGTGAAGAGCAAATAAAAATGTACAGAGGTGTTAAATGATACCAGAAAATGGTAAGAAGAGTCATTTTTTTGCCGCCATCTGGTTACAAAAAGGCCTAGGTATCGATTGTTTCAAAATTTCAATGCAGAGCAGTCTAGTGTGGCCATTCGGAACAATTACAACACTTTTGATTGGACCACCTATTGTAGTAACCACATCTTTTCTAAATTAAAACCCATCCCCAACATAATTCTCCTTTCATGGGAAACACTTACAAAGTTCATATCCTTTACATCCCCACAACATGTTTTGGTTGAGCGTGAAACATGCTTACGTAACATAAAGCTTCAAGTTGGAGCAGGTTTGCCAATGGAAATTCTACTGAAAACAACCTTATCTTACGTTGGAAATCACTGCAACCAATTCTGTTTGTTATAGTGTACCGAGCACCTGGTCCGTACTCTGAATTCTTATCTGAATTTGCAGAGTTTTTGTCAACTTTAGTCCTTGAAACGGACAAAGTTATTATTGTAGGGGATTTTTAATATTCATGTGGATGTTGAGAATGACAGCTTCAGTACTGCGTTTATCTCTCTAGATTCC